CGTAGCTATGACACTGCACTACAATTGAACAAGACCGATATAAATCAATGATTGAAATGGATTTAGTTCACCGGATAAGCAGTTGCTATGCATGTATCATTCTGGTTACCACATTTCTGTAGATACGATGTAACACCCATTGGGAAACCGTCAATTGTGAATCGGCAGCCGCGTCCAGTCTTTGTTAGCGCACAAACTGATAGTAATGAAAAATCGAATGCTGCAAAAGCAGCGATCACTACATAATTTGTCAATCGAATGGCTCATCAATAACCACGAATTATGCTACCTTCAAAATATTGCAAATTTTCAAACATAAAATACCCACTAATAGGCAATATATTGAAGAATAGCCTAGAGTAATCAGAGAACATACCCTACCTCTCTTCTATTGTTCCGCTTGCAGCTTCATCTAACAAAACAGTTTGCGGCAGTTTACAATGTGAAGTTTACAATCGCATTATTTTGCAGACCGCGATTATTTGTAACGAATTTTAATGCAATGTTAATGCACATTAGTTGCAATTGATATGATAGGCCCAAATACGACATGGTATGTATCGATTTTAGATGAACTGACCTGGTGAAGTACCGATATTGAATCCACCAATTGGTTTACGATAGGTCTCCCATGTATACTGTATTGTACCAGCAAGATTCTAAAAGAATGTTGCCATCACTCATTAGAGTAAGTCGATGGCGAAAATGCAAGATGACAATCATTTGAAGCCTATAGAAATAGTACTAAAAGGAACGTGTGCAAGTGACCAAAACTGGCGCTAAACTAAAGCCTAGAGGAAAGCTTCTGAATCTGAGCTACTGCAACCCTTTTCAACAAAAAAATGTTGTTTATTGCAATTATTCATCGAAAGAAAAACCGAAGTAGCAATTGCAATCGATCATTTGCAGAAGAAAGCACCGCTCTGGCTCTGGTAGTTAAACAGAGATTAATTCGTGGGATGGCCTCCAGGATGGATCACGTGGGATGGATCACTTTGTATCAATACCGCACCCGTATTATGCGCACCATAATGGAGACAAAAATATCAACCTCATCATGACGAATATAACCGTGATAATTGATTGCTCCTCTCTTTTCAAGCAAATAATATTTCACCCATGAATGTTGTCCATCAACTTTCGTGCCCTTCCATTCACCAACGAAAACGTGTTCAAATCCTGCAATCGCTAGACGCGAGGAACTACCATCCATTAACCAGTGCTTTCCAATTCTACACCATACCCACAGTTGCCAATGACAGAGATAGAAAAAACCAGTCGATATGCAAACGAAAATATTACTGCAAATGAGATTCACACCTGAACTGCCTAGTGGTCCTTTGCAGCGGGAGTATGTACCAAACCAATATGTCCACAGTTTCTGAAGGAACTTCGTCAGGTCTGTCGCATAGTCTGGAACTTCTTGCAATGCTTTCTCTACTTCTCAGTAATGCGAATTGATTGGAGGCTGACTAGGTTTATTAGCCTTCGATATTATCTGCTGAACAGACTCAACAGATTCCCACTTAAGATGAGTGATCAAAGTTCATTGAAAAAAGAACAGCTGCTAAGAAAATATTCACTATTTTACTAAATAAACTCCGAATATCTTCTACTACCAATCGTTTTTTTAACTCACTGATTTCTTTTAAATATTCGAATGCCAGTTGAAATACTTTTGTGCTGGTGAAGTTGTAGAATACGTTCTTTAGAACTAGTTCTCGTCTTGGATCCTTGTTTATTGGTGTTTCTGCTTCACATACCTGAATGGTGAAGGCAGTAAGAACACCTGTCGAAGAAATACCTTAGAAGAGAGAGGTGTATATAACAAGTTTAATGAAACAGATCATGAAGAGACACGAACCTGTGGAATGAATACATCGTTTGTATACACATCAACGAGAGCTCTATAGACAGGACGTTCAAATATCGTTTCATTGACATGAGTGAACAATCTAAGTTTTCATTTCACTTGATAGTTGGGATATTGAGAATAGTGTTGCGTTCATTGGTAAAAAATAAATGAATTTCTGAAAAAATTGTGAAAAAAACAGTGTCTCTGTGCAAGGGTCACTTGACGGCTCGAAAATATCAGAAGTGTGAGCATGAGATGTTGAGTGAGTTACTGCAGAACTCATAAAAATATCGAATGAAATGTATTGTGACGGGCTTACGGATAGTAAGAAGTATCTAAGCTGCCATTGACTGGGTTTCCCCAATTCAGCTCATAGTCAATCGGTTTGTCAACATCCGCTGCACGCATATCATCGACGAGTTTTTGCAACCGCACATCTCTTGCATGTGTTCCAGTGGTTCTGGGCCGCTCTGTTGTTGCATTTTGAGGGTGTTCGGTTGGTTCGATGTGACCTTTATACACACTTAAATCTACTGCTTTTATCTGCAAACCACTGTCATCGCAGAATATTTCAATTCTTTGAAAAGCATCTCTGCAAAAACATTATATCGATATTTCTAAAGCAGGAAGAGAAGATTTCATTTGCAAGCAGCCATGAAAACATCAAAACTTTATAGTGTAGCACAAGCTTATTTTTAAGAACTAAGAATACTCAACAGAATGCTCCACAGGCTGAACAAATTGAACAACTTTTTGAAAACTTTTTGCTGGTGACACCATATGATTAGACGTCAGAAATATTTTGTTTCTAAGGTCATTAGACAATTGGCAATAGTTTTGGAAACATCTGTAGAAATACAATGTATTGAATGGTGGAAACAGAAATTACGTGGCCATAAATTTCCGCAGGTTCATCGCAGCAGATACTCCTATACATTTTTCATAAGAGCCCTATTCTGAGGTACGAGAGTGCAAAGAAGGTTGCTACAAAAGCCAATAGAGAAACTGAAAATTATATCCACTAAGAGTTCAATTAATATTTGCGAACATGTACCCTTAATGATTCTCCCGATGGTGCAAACGTTTCAACATCAATCAAAACGTCGAATTTTCCATAGGGTAGAGTACAATACTGAAATGAACAAACATGATTATAGTTCACAGCTTACGATGCTGTGGCAGGAATTATCGATGGGAACAAAGCAGGAAAATGCTTGCATATAAATGGAGATGTATCGCATGCAGCAAGTCACAAACTTGCATGTTTACAAACTTGAAAATTGATCACCAAATGCTTGATTGCTTAGAAACTGCTGTCTCAAATTGGACTATCATTTAATATTGTCCATAATACAGTGACCTGATTTTGTTGCTTTTCATTTCGGAATGCAGAGAGGATAGTGTTCCAAATTTTTGGCTTATATTCATAGCATTTGGTTGAATGTTAGTCGAAATAGCGTTGGTTGAATAGCGTCAAACAAAACAATCGAAGGTACATCCAAACGTATACCTGGACTTTGCTCAGCGCACAAACTGTGAACACGGCTATGTCGAATTCAGGAGAGGTGCCGAGGAAGAAGTCATCTTTCCATG